TCCCAGCTACTTGGGAGGCTGAGGCAGGAGAATCACTTGAACCCGGGAGGAGGAGGTTGCGGTCAGCTGAGATCGTACTATTGCACTCTAGCCTGGGCAACAAGAATGAAACTCTGACTCAAAAAAAAAAAAAAAATTAAAGTTAAAAAAAATAAAATAAAATGATAATAGTGTTGGTTGATTTTCATAGAATGAGCCATCCTTGTATTTTTTAAATAAATCCCACTTGGTCATTGTATGTAATTGTTATATATGTTAGATTTTGTGTGCTAACATTTTGTTGAGGATTTTTGCCTCTATAAGGGATATTGGCCTGTAGTTTTTTTAATGTGATTTCTTGGTTTGATTTTGGTATAAGAGTAATAACTAGCCTCATAGATGTGCAAAGTTTTCTCTCCTCTTCTAATTTTTGGAAGAGTTTATGAAGGATTGGTGTTAATTCTTTTTAAAACGTTAAGAATTTACTAGCATAGCTATCTGATTTTGGGCTTTTATTTGGGGTAGTTTCTTGATTACTAATTCTATCGCTTGTTTTGGATCCATTCATATTTTGTTTGTTCTTGAGTCCGTTCATTAGCTCGTGTCTTTCTAGGAATTTGTTTCATCTAGGTTATCTAATTTTTTGACAGACAATTTTTCATAGTATTCCTTTATAATTATCTTTACTTCTGTGTGGTTGGTAGTAATGGCCCCTCTTTATTTTTAAAAAACAATTAATTGAAGTGAAAATCACATAACATAAAATCAGTTATTTTAAAGTAAACAATTTAGTGACATTTAGTGCATTTGTAATATTGTACGTGTGCTGCCTCTATCTAGTTCTGATACATTTCCATCATTCCAAAGTAAAACCCCTTTACCCATTAAGCAGTTTCTCACCATTTTCCCTTTCCTATCTTTTGGCAACCACAAATCTTTGTTTAATATCTATGGATTTATCTATTTCTGATATTTCCTGTAAATGAAATCATACAGTATATGAGCTTTTGTGCCTGACTTCTTTCACATGGTATGTTTTCAGGGTTTACCATGTTGTAGCATGTATCAGTATGTCATTTCTTTTATGGCTGAATAAACATTCTGTTTTATGTACATACCATGATTTGTTTATCCATTCGTCCATTGATGGACATTTAGGTTGCTTCTACCTTTTGGTTATTATGAATTGCTGCTTATAAACATGTATACATGTGCTTGAGTACCCTTGTTTCTTTGAGTGTATATTTAGAAGTAGATTTCTGGGACCATAAATCTATGTTTAACATTTTGAGGAACTGCCAAACCATTTTGTAATAAAATCTTTTGATTTTTACAAGCTTTTGTTAATTTCCAGGATCTGAAAAATGTGATTTTTGTAGTTTTTGCTAGTGTTCTCTTTGCTTTTATGAAGGAGCAGCTATTTGTAGGTCCTTATTCCTCCATTCCCCTTAACTTCACCCTGTTGACTTTGTTACGCATTTTTTTAGTTGTCTTTTTTGTGGTCTTCCACAACCCCTTTTTAAATCATTCTTTAAGCCCTTTAAAAACTCAGCTTTAGTGAAGAAACTTTACTCTGAACTATCAGACCACTTTTAGTTTGAACTGCCACCCTGTCAAATCTCCTTTGTAGACTTTTCTGACCAAGATTCTGCTCATAGGAGGAAGGGAAAGAAACGGGGAAAAATGACTGATTTTCTCTGTTGTTTAAGAGTAGATCCCAGGCTGGGCATGGTGGCTTATGCCTATAATTCCAGCACTTTGGGAGGCTAAGGCGGGTGGATCACCTGAGTTTAGGAGTTCAAGAGCAGCCTGACCAATATGGTGAAACCCTGTCTCTACTAAAAATACAAAAATTAGATGAACGTGGTAGCATGTGCCTGTAGTCCCAGCTACTTGGGAAGCCAAGATAGTAGAATTGCTTGAACCCAGGAGGTGGAGGTTGCAGTGAGCCAAGATCACGCCACTGCACTCCAGCCTGGGTGACAGAGCGAGACTCCCGTCTCAAAAAAAAAAAAAAAAAAAAAAAGTAGATCCCATGCATAACTCTAACTGGCGTAGGGAGGTTAGACATGCAAATACATATCAGATCTAATGGGTTTGTCCTCAAAAATCAATTCTCACCTCCCATGATGGGAGAAGCCAGTAGGAGGGCTTCAATTCCAAAGAAAGCTGAGAGGTAAGTGGATGATAACCCACCTTCCAGATTATTTCTTTGCATTCAAACAATGGCCCTTCTAGTAGATCATTGTTTTTTCTTTGTTTTTTTCAGACGAAATCTTGCTCTGTCACCCAGGCTGGAGTGCAGTGGCACAATTTCGTTCCACTGCAATCTCTGCCTCCCAGATTCAAGCAGTTCTCCTGCTGAGTAGCTGGGATTACAGGCACGTTCCACCATGCCTGGCTAATTTTTGTGTTTTTAGTAGAGATGGGGTTTCACTGTGTTGGCCAGGCTAGTGTCAAACTCCTGAACTCATGATCCGCCTGCTTCCCAAAGTGCTGGGATTATAGGTGTGAGCCACAGTGCCCAGCTCTAGCAAATCATTGTTATAACCACACGCGAGTTTTTAACCACACACATACTCTTCTGAGGAAAGGCTTCCCCAAACTGTTGGTCCTTATAATGAGGTCTGGCCATACACATTTTTCTTCTGAACCCCAGGATTGTGGGACTGTCACATTTCCTCTAAGGGTACACTTTAGGAGCGCCCAGACTTGAAAATTGGCTGTTTCCCATGTTTGAACATTTTCCACTTTTTCCTTCTGATTTCTAACTACTTCTAGATAACATTTTTCCGTTAATGAATATTTGAGTGCTTATTGTGTGCCAGGCACTGCTTTAGGCACTTGAGAGAAATCAGTGAACACAACAGACAAAAATGAACAACAACAACAAAAACAAAACAAACTACTCCAACAGAAGGATCTAACAGTCCAATAGAGAAAGAAAGATGGTAAGTATAATAAAAATGCAAATTCTCTGGTGAAATGGAAGATGATGTTATAGAACTAGGAAGAAAATAATAGAGCAGGATTAGAAGTTGAGGAGGTATAAGAGAATTGTAATTTTACGTAGTGTGGTTAGAGTAAGTCTCATGGAGAAGGTAAATTTGGACATGAACTTGAAGGGGATAAAATGTCCCTGTGTTAGCCATGGGGACATAAGTGTTGGGCAGAGACTCTGAAGGAATAGCAGGGTAGCCAGTGTGGCTGGTTTAAAGTGAATGAAGATTAGAATAGTGGGAAAAAAGGTCAGAAAGGTAGCAAGAGTGGAAATAGTAGAAAGGATCTGTAAATTCTTCATTTTTCTCTCAGTCTAGTCTGTGGAAATTGTCATGTCTTTTGATAAGGAACGACCTTGATTTAATAGTTACTCCCCTCCTAGACTCTCAGGCTAGTTTGTTTTTTTGTTTTTTTTTTTGTTTGTTTGTTTGTTTTTTTTGAGATGGAGTATTGCTCTTGTTGCCCAGACTGGAGTGCAATGGCATGGTCTTGTGCACAGTCTTGGCTCACTGCAACCTCTGCCTCCTGGATTCAATTGATTCTCTTGCCTCAGCCTACCAAGTAGCTGAAATTATAGGCGCCCACCACCACGCCCGGCGAATTTTTGTATTTTTAGTAGAGGTGGAGTTTTACTATGTTGGCCAGGCTGGTCTCGAACTTCTGACCTCAGGTTATCCGCCCACCTCGGCCTCCCAAAGTGCTGGGATTACAGGCGTGAGCCACTGTGCCTGGCCTTTTTTTTCTTTTTCTTTTTCTTTTAAGATGGAGTCTCGCTGTGTCACGCAGGATGGAATGCAGTGGCGCAATCTCAACTCACTGTAACCTCGCCCGAGATGCTTGTGCCTGAGCCTCCTGAGTAGCTGGGACTATATGTGTGCGCCACCATGCCTGGTTAATTTTTTGTATTGTTTTTAGAGATGGGGTTTCACCATGTTGTCCAAGCTGATCTCGAACTCCTGACCTCAAGTGATCCACCCACCTCGGCCTCCCAAAGTGTTGGGATTACAGGCATGAGCCACTGCGCCTGGCCTCTCAGGCTAGTTTCAACCCTATTTTACACTCCTCTACCATCCTCAGCTTATTTTTGAAAAAGTATTTATTAAAAAACATTTATGAAAAAGTTATTTGTGTTTTATTTAGTTGGCCTGGATGGAATACAAATGTTGCTGTAGTGTTAAGGATACTGTAAAACTCCCATTTACTGCAAGGATCTGTGTTTAATGAGCATTCAATTCTAAGACAGCAAGTGTGTAGAGTTATTGGTGGGGTTGGGGGACAAGAGTACTGTAGATGGAGAGTGAGGGAGGTGGGGCAGGAGTTTGAGAAAGCAGCAGTGGGGTGAAGAAAGTGATAGGCAAGGGAAGATAGTAGGGATAGGTACCACAGGAGTCCTGGTGGCCTGAAATCTAATCACAAAGGTTACTCAAGTGGGACTGATGCCTGAAAAAAACTTGTGTGTGGTTATAACAGTGATCTACTAGAAGGGCCATTGTTTGAATGCACAGAAATAATCTGGAAGGTGGGTTATCATCCACCTATCTCTCAGCTTTCTTTGGAATTGAAGCCCTCCTATTGGCTTCTGCCATCATGGGGGTGTGAATTGACTTTTGAGGACAAATCCGTTAGATCTGATATATCTTTGCATGTCTAACCTCCCTACCGCAGTATCTCAAGATTCTGGTAAATTGGAACATAAGCATTTATGCATCCATTGGTGGACATTTGTAGAGAAGGGTCTCTGGACATCTAGAGGAGAAGAAAACTCTCATTGTCTAATGCTACTCTTGTTCTTAATGAACTTGTTCATTAACTTATTAGCTTTGTTCCTGATTCTTGCTCTATTCCTCTTTCTCATCTTGAATGATGGTTGGATGGCGGGTTAATCAGTATGGACAACAGCCAAAAATCTAACCAAGAGCAGCTGGTTAGGAAGCCCAGCAGTGTTATTAGAACCCAGTTTAAGTTTTTCTTCTTTGTTTGATGGTTTATTAACAATAGGAATTCATTTCTCACATTTTTAGGCTGGGAAGTTCAAGATCGCGATGCTGGACAATTTGGTTCCTTAGTGAAGGCTCTTTTCCTGGCTGGTGGGTGACAGCCTTCTTGCTGTGTTCTCACATGACAGAGAGAGGAACCAAGGTCTGTGGTGTCTGCTCTTATAAGGGCGCCAATCACATCATGAGGGCCCTGTCCTCATGAATATCCTCATTACATCTTAACCTGATTATGACCCAAAAGCCCCTTCTCTAAATACCATCACATTGGGGGTTATAGCTTCAGTATACACATTTGGGGGTGGGGGGAACACAGTTCAGCCATTGTATAATCCAAATTATGTATACCTGAAATATTCTCTAGAATTGGAGGAATCATTTAACGCTTAGGAATAGAACACTGATATAATTACAGTTGTGTTTTAAGATCCATCTAGTGGTGGTGTGTTATATAATTTGAAGGACAGAGAAAAGAGAACAATTTAGGGACTAGTACAGGTGTACAGAAATGCAGTAACCAATGGACCTAAACCTAGAAGTTGGGTCCTGGGCTGGGGGCCATTAATAGGAATGGACATAAAAGGTAGAATGAGCAATGCTCTAAAAGTTATTTAAAATGGCTTATAAGGTACTTTGACATTTTTCTGGGAGGTAGAGGAGGTTTGAACAGGTTTAAAAAACAGACAGTGAAAAAATGAATCCAATGAGACACTTTAATTCTTAAAGACTAAGCAGTTAACAGCAATAGCATCAGATATAGCTGTGCACTAAGTCAGTTTTAGCAGAAAGAGCACAAAACCAGACTTCAGGAATTAGGCATGTCAGTACTAACTCTGTCTACAAACCCTCCATATAACTAGAGTAAATCATAAACGTTTTGGTGCTTTAAAAGTTAATCTTCAGACTGGCTGGGCACTGTGGCTCAGGCCTGTAATGCCAGCACTTTGGGAGGTCGAGGCGGGCAAATCATGAGGTCAGGAGATGAAGACCATCCTGACCAACATGGTGAACCCCGTCTCTACTAAAAATACAAAAATTAGCTGGGCGTGTTAGCACACCTGTAATCCCAGCTACTCAGGAGGCTGAGGCAGAAGAATAGCTTGAACCTGGGAAGGAGAGGTTGCAGTGAGCTGAGATCGTGCCACTGCACGTTAGCCTGGGCTAAAACTGGTCTAATAACAGCAAAATGTAGGCACTAGAAACAAACCAAGGTTCATAACTCACCAATTTCTAAAAACATATCAAGATTCACTGTATCCCAGTGTGGCCCCTTCAAATCAGCATAATCCAAAGCATAAAAATTAAACTGACATCTAATATATGCCATGCACACTGTTTTAATTTTAATGAGGATATCAGTATCTAATTTTGGAACACAGACAATATTTATTCCTATAAATATGTGTATCACCTTGGAAATGAATTTTAATAGGAATACAATATTAAGCATAATACAAATTATGTATTCTTTTTCCCAGGTTCAAGCTATTCTACTGCCTCAGCCTCCTGAGTAGCTGGGATTACAGGTGCGCCAACACGCCCAGCTAATTTTTATATTTTTAGTAGAGACGGGGTTCACCATGTTGGTCAGGATGGTCTTCATCTCCTGACCTCATGATTCGCCCGCCTCAGCCTCCCAAAGTGCTGGCATTACAGGCCTGAGCCACCATGCCCGGCCAATCTGAAGATTAATTTTTAAAGCGCCAAAACGTTTATGATTTACTATAGTTATATGGAGGGTTTGTAGACAGAGTTAGCACTGACATGCCTAATTCCTGAAGTCTGGTTTTGTGCTCTTTCTGCTAAAACTGACTTAGTGCACAGCTATATCTGATGCTATTGCTGTTAACTGCTTAGTCTTTAAGAATTAAAGTGTCTCATTGGATTCATTTTTTCACTCTCTATTTTTTAATAGACCTAGTAATGAGGCTTAACTGATTTTGTGGGTCATTGGTTAATTTAAAAAAAATGAGGCTGGGCGCAGCTCGGGCTTCTAATCCATGGCTCATGCTTGTAATCCCAGCACTTTGGGAGGCTGAGGCTGGTGAATCACAAGGTCAGGAGTTCGAGATCAGCCTGGCCAACACAGTGAAACCCCTTCTCTACTAAAAATACAAAAATTAGCTGGGTGTGGTGGCATGTGCCTGTAATCCCAGCTACCCTGGAGGCTGAGGCAAGAGACTTGCTTGAATCTGGGAGGCAGAGGTGAGCTGAGATTATGCCACTGCACTCCAGCCTGGGTGGCAGAACTAGACTCCATCTCAAAAAAAAAAAAAATGAAATGGAAAATTTTAGAATTCAGCCTGTGTAGTAAAGGTAGTTATTATTTATGTGTGTGTGCTTGCTTTAAGTCCTTTATCGGCCTACAGAATTTCCAACGGATAAAGTTCTTAGGGTAAATTTATAGAAAATGTGGAATTAATGGAGCATAATCTTCTTTAAAAATAAAGGATCTTATGAAGGAGAGTGCTGTTTATTGATTCATTTAACAAATTCTGTATTTGTTGAGCACCTGCCCTGTGTCAGACCCTGTTCTTTGTGCTGAGTATACAACAGTCAACAGAAGATACAATACCTGTCCTTTGAGTTTTGTGTTCCACTGGATGGACATTAGAAAATAATCAAGATAAATAGGATTGTAATATGTTAAATGGTGATAGGGCTTTGGGGATGAAAGAAAAGGGAAAAGAGATTAGGAATGTGGGTTAGAGGTTGGTTAGAATATTTGAGAACCTCACTGAGAGATACTTGGAATAGAGCTCTAAGGGCAGTGAGGAGCTAGCCATGCAGTTACTCAAATGATCATTCATATTGGAGGGAACAAGGGCCTTGAGCAAGGAAAAGAGCTTAGTATGTTCAAGAAATAGCAGGGAGGGCCAGGTGCAGTTGTTCATGCCTATAATCCTAGCACTTTGGGAGGCCAAAGCACACAGATCACTTGAGAGAAGGAATTTGAGACCAGCCTGGTCAACATGGTGAAACCCCATCTCTACTGAAAATACAAAAATTAGCTGGATGTGGTGATGCGCGCCTGTAGTCCCAGCTACTCAGGAGACTGAGGCAGGAGACTCTCTTGAACCTGGAAGGTAGAGGTTGCAGTGAGCTGAGTTATATATCTGGGCGACAGAGCGGGACTCTATCTCAAAAAAATAAAATTTAATTCAAAAAATTAAAATAAAAAATAAATAGCAAGGCGGTTAGTGTGGCTAGAGTGAAGTAGATTGGGGAGAGTAGTATGAGATAACTGCAGGAGCAGTATGTGGGGTTGGTAGTGTGGTCTTCTAGGCATTGGTAATACTTGGTCTTTTACTCTCAGTTAATCAGAAAGCCATTGGAGGGTTTTGAGCTGAACAATGATACAGTCTGACTTTGTTTAACACAATCAATCTGCTTGCTATGTGGAGAAGAGACTGAGGTGGATTGAGGGAGGAAGCACTGTTGTGTTTAAGTTCAGTGGGTAAGTCAGGACTGGAGGGAAAAATTTAGGAGGCATTAGTGAATGGATTATAATTAAGGCCATGAGTTGGGATGAGATTATCTGCCTGGCACTTGACATTGTGCTATGCTGTTTGTTGGCTATGTGTAGGTACTCTAACTATAAATTTAATACCTCTTTTCTGTACTAATGTTTATGGGATTACTATATATGAATCAATTGAGATATGTACATTTAATGTAATTTTCTTCCAATTCCACTACAAATCAAGCTGCCATTGAATAGGTGATGCTTTTAAAAAACCAGCTGTTACTATAAGTCTAAGAAATAGAATTTTTGCCTTTAAGATAGCAAAATACATTTAAAAGTAAAAAACTTGATAAAGCGGATGCAGCTGGTGTGTGGCAGACTAAGGATTCCAGCTTATTCTTCAGCTCCAAAGTCCATGTTTCTAAACACTGCACAATGATGCCCTGGTAAAAATGTGTGTCCTTTTCCATACAATTTTGTCTAGTGATTAGTTGCTGGAAGATTTTTCTTTTTTTTTTTTTAATGGAAGAGAGCATAATCAGTACAGCAAAGTTATGGTTCTGGATTCATAGGAACCTGATCTTTTATCATAGGTTTTAAGCTGTTATTTATCCTCTTTCAGTCTCAGTGTCCTTATCTGTAAAATAGTGATGTTTATAAAAACAATGTTTTGGAGGAGAATTAAATAAGGTAATGCATTTTCCTGTACTTACTGATGTATGTTTGTACTTAGGTGGCAGTTTATATAAAGGAAGCATTGGGACTTGTGGCCACACTGTTCAAGAATAAAAAGCATTAGAAAATGGAACAATCATGTGAGGAAGACAAAGAGCCTGAACCACAGAAGAACATAAAAGAAACCAAACAAGTAGATGACGAAGACGCTGAGCTCATCTTTGTTGGTGTGGAACATGTAAATGAAGATGCTGAGCTAATCTTTGTTGGGGTGACTTCAAATTCAAAACCAGTCGTTTCAAACATTTTGAACAGAGTCACCCCGGGTTCATGGTCAAGGAGAAAAAAGTATGGTCACCTTAGAAAAGATACTGCTGACAAATTGCAGCCTACAAGTCATGAGACCCTTACATCAGAAGCAGTGACCGACCTGCCAGCTTCCCATCTTGAATCGAGATCAACAGATAGTCCTATTATTATTGAGCCTTTGTCTAAACCTGATTATAAAAATAGTTCACCACAAGTTGTGCCTAATAACTCTTCAGAATTACCTTCTCCTTTGATTACATTCACAGGTTCATTGCATCAGCCAGTAAGTGCAGCACTTTCAGTAGGAGGTATAAATGAAAGTCCTCATATATCAAAGCGACTTTCCACTTTCGAAGTAAACAGCATAAATGCCAAAAGGGCTAAACTCAGGGATGGAATTATGGAAGGATATTCTTCAGCTTCGTCCCCTTCAGATACCTTTCATACAATGAATTCTCAGCAAAGTACGCCCTCAAACAATGTTCATACCTCATTAAGCCATGTTCAGAATGGAGCACCTTTTCCAGCAGCTTTTCCAAAGGACAATATCCATTTCAAGCCTATAAATACAAATCTTGATAGGGAAAATGAATTGACAAAAACAGACATTTTGAGTCTAACAAGTCAAAACAAGACCTTTGATCCCAAGAAAGAAAATCCCATTGTGTTACTTAGTGACTTTTACTATGGACAGCATAAAGGAGATGGGCAGCCAGAACAGAAGACTCACACCACCTTTAAATGCCTCAGTTGCGTGAAAGTTCTAAAAAATGTTAAGTTTATGAATCACGTGAAGCATCATTTGGAATTTGAGAAGCAAAAGAACGACAGCTGGGAAAACCACACCACCTGCCAGCACTGCCACCGGCAGTTTCCCACTCCCTTCCAGCTACAGTGTCACATTGAAAATGTCCACACTGCCCAGGAGCCCTCTGCTGTCTGTAAGATCTGTGAATTGTCATTTGAAACAGATCAGGTTCTCTTACAACACATGAAGGACCATCATAAGCCTGGCGAAATGCCCTATGTGTGCCAGGTTTGCCATTACAGATCGTCAGTCTTTGCTGATGTAGAAACACATTTTAGAACGTGCCATGAAAACACAAAGAATTTGCTTTGTCCCTTTTGTCTCAAAATTTTCAAAACAGCAACACCATACATGTGTCATTATAGGGGCCACTGGGGAAAGAGTACACACCAGTGTTCCAAGTGCCGGCTACAGTTTTTAACTTTCAAGGAGAAAATGGAGCACAAGACCCAGTGTCATCAAATGTTTAAGAAGCCTAAGCAACTAGAAGGATTACCTCCTGAAACAAAAGTTACTATTCAAGTGTCACTAGAACCTCTTCAGCCAGGATCAGTAGAAGTAGCATCCATAACTGTGAACACATCTGACTCCGAACCATCACTCCCCAGGTCTAAAAGCAAAATTTCAAAAAAGTCCCATTAATTCTAGTTTCAGTAAATCTAAAGCAAGTATTTCAAACCAAATTTAAAAACCTCATAAAAACAAAAAATACCAACCATACATTATTCAGTAGCACCAAAAATAGTGAAACTAGTGGATTATATATGACTTTTTAAACAAAATTTAGGATATAATTTGATCTGAATTTTGAGGTGTTATTTTAAAACATCTGGTTTTCATGTTAACTGTATCTGGCTTACATAAAAGGTGTTTGTGTGTGTGTGTGTGTGTGTGTGTATGTGAGAGAAAAAGGTATTAATTTATTTTTTTAATTTTAATTTTTTTTTTTTTTTTTTTTACTTTAGAGACAGGGTCTCACTTACCCAGGCTGGAGTGCGGTGGCATGATCCTAGCTCACTGCAGCCTTGAACTCCCGGGCTCAAGCATTCCTTGGCCTCAGCCTTTGGAGAGTAGCTAGGACTACAGGCGCAGCCACCACACCCAGCTAATTTTTTATTTTAATTTTTTTTGTGGCGATGGAGTCTTGTTATGTTGCCCAGGCTGGTCTTGAACTCCTGACCTTAGGGGAGCTTCCTGCCTCAGCCTCCCCAAGTGCTGGGATGTGTGAGCCACTGCCTCTGGCACCTATTTATTATTTTGGTATTTCATGTTACTCCTAAGCTTGAAAAAGCTCTTTTTTCTATATACAGAATTCGTAGAATTTTTGAAATACTTAGTTTTCTTTTCAGCTTTTTCCATGCATTCAAGATTTCATGGTTAACTCTAGTCAGACTGGAATGGCTTTGTTATGCCCTGGCCCACTTGCTGTGGAATTCCCAGAAGTGCCTCTGCTGTGCTGACATAAAATAACCTGAAAAGATTCTGAAAAGCCAGGATGTGGAATTGAAAGAGAAGCTGCTGCATGAGCAGAGACCAAGAAGGTGGAAGTTAGTTGAGGGAGAGCAGTGGCTCTTTGTTCTAATTGAAGGATAGGCACACATTCATTCTGGTCTTGGGGCCAGGTCAAAAGGAACACTGCTTCAGAGTATCTTTACCTAACCCAGAAACATCCAAGGAAGCCAAACCATTCAAAGTAAAGTGCTTTTGTTTGGTGAGGGGCCCCTGTAGACATCAAAGAGCTGCCATGTATCATTGGTTTGAGATGAAATAGCAATACAATTAATAATAGAATGATGCCTGGTGCTATCTGACTTCCCATTCTGTGATCTAAAGGTGAAATTGATTCATTCTCTCTCCTCTCCCTTCTGGCTAGCCGTTAGTGGAGAATGAACTGGCCATATTCCTCTGAGCCACAGCAGTAAAGCAAGTTAAGTTTCCCAAGGGGAAGAAGCCCTGATATCTATAATTTGAACTGTACTGGACTCATAGTTTTAACTGAAAAGGGCCAAACAAGTGGTGTCTGTCCATTTCCTGGACTGGGCTAAATTTAGTTTTCCCACTGTTGAGCTGGAATGAGGACTGTCCAAGAACAGTAGGTACAGTGGACAAAAATAGCCCAGGGTGACTGACTAAATTTAAACCCATAATGGCTTTATATTTTTCTGTGCATATATATCTTACCCTAATTGAACATGTGAAGCTTACAACTTTTATGTCTTGCCTTGGACATGAATGTATTGCAGCTTACAGTTCTTCTGTTTTATGTATAGTTTCCCAGTTTATTGACACTAATGCTGTTTGGGTCTTACTTGATACATACCAGTGTGCAAGAAATGTCCCCCTAATTCAGTAAGTGTTAAGACTTAATGTCCTTCATCTGATCTGTCCTATCTAATCTGTACTATGGGTGAAACTTTTTCGCTTGCTCTCCCCAGGGACTGTTTCACAGTATTCTGGAGTACTTTTTGAGTATTGGTTCCTGAACATCAGCAGCCTTGGGTGCCTCTGTGGACTCCCGGAGTTGTCTCCTTGGTTGTGTTCTGGTGCCATCCTTTGTACCTCCACCCCCGACTAAGGTGCCCAGCAACCTGTCTTCACCAGTCATGGAATCTGCCATCTTGGCTATAGACATAGGTCTGGAGAAGTCTTTCCCTTTTTCCTTGATTTCTTTTTAAAGGTATATTATCTCTCCCCACTCCTTTTTTCCCTCCTCAATCTAGTTAAATTTCCTAAGCTTTCACAAAAGTCTGCGAAGAGATAATTAAGAGCTTAGCATCCCTCTTAGAACTAGAATAGAAGGCAGTACAGATAACAAATAAGTTGTGAGTATATTATCTATATTTTGCAACATTTTCTGACTGTAGCTCCCATTGTATTTATTTGTCTGACACTCACTTGATTGATTTGCACCTTGAACACTTTACTAGGTCTTTTCAGTTACTTTGCTTGGGTTAAGACACTTTGCTAAAATTTCAGCCTGAATCCTTTCTTTAGTTGACGAAAGGGTATGTGTGTGCAAGTGGGTGTGTTTGTGCCAGTTTTTCTTGTCTCAGGTAGATACTCCTACTGTGTATAAATAGATCTACAGACTTTTCATACTTACCTCCCGTATTCTGTTTCTGTGGTAAAAATATGAAATATTTTAGTTGTATGTTGAGTGATTGGTTGGTATTATCAACACTGTTGTTTGCTGTTTCATTAAAGCATGCTCTTAAGGAGTACATATGGTCATTAATTGCCAACTATAGATTCCAGTGATCTGGCCCCTGCCTACCTCCTTACTCTCCTCATTCTATGTCATGCTTCTCCACTCTTTTCCCCAATGATGCACTATTTTGACACACTGGCCTTGCTATTCCTTAAGCAAATCACATTCTTCCCAATCCAAAGACTTTGCACATGCTATTGTCTTTCTTAGAATGCCCTTCCCCTAGGCCTGCATGGCTTGCTACCTCACTTAATTGTTTGACACTTCCTTTGGTTCATTGAGCTTCAAGGCTCTTAAAATGCCACTGACAATGAGATCTCCCTGTAAAAAAAAAAAAAACTTTTACTTTTTCCTCTTAAAGGCACTTTACTCTCTCCCTACTCTTTTCTTCCCTCTTCAGTGTATTTAAATTTCCTAAGTTTTCATGAAAAAGCTGAAAAACGATCATCATCAAGGGCTTTGCTTCTGTCTTAGAGTTGAGCTAGCTCGAGTCAATTTCTGTGCCTGCAACCAAATGAAAATTAATATAGTGAGTTCTTTCAGGAGCTTTCTCTGTTTTTTTATTGATACCTCTATATATTTTTAAGGCAATGTCACTTTGTTTTGTTTACAAATATATTGAATATGTCAAGATTACTATTTTGTTATTACCCTTTGTGAATTTCCTTGTCTATTTTGCTCGCTTGTTCTTTCAGATGAAATTTATTATTTTATTAATGTTGCCAAAAATTATAAGTAAAATATCAATTATAGTAATAAAATGTTTTGTGAAAAAATGCTGTTGCTGTATTGTTGCTGTATTGTCTTTGCACCGTAAGTAAAATGGGATGTTTTAGTTTGTTTTGTTTTTTGAGACAGAGTCTTGCTCTGTGGCCCAGGCTGGAGTATAGTGGCACGATCCCAGCTTCCTGCAACATCCACCCCGAGTTCAAGTGATTCTTCTGAGCAGCTAGTACTACAGGCGTGTGCCACCACACCCAGCTAATTTTTGTACTTTTTGTAGAGATGAGGTTTCATCACGTTGGCCAGGCTGGTCTCGAACTCCTGGCCTCAAGTGATCTGCCCACCTTCATTTCCCAAAGTGAGCCACTACGCCTGGCCTATTTTTAGTTTTTAATTTTCATTTAGTACCACTGTATAATCTTTGCCTTTTTGCCACTTGTGTTCATTTTTAGCCTTATTGCTGCAGCCAGAACTTCTAAACAATATTTAAGATGGAGTTAATGGGCTTTCTTGTTCTTGGCTTTAATGAGAAATGGTTTGCCCTTAAAGGTAATAAGTATATGCTTAAATAATTTCTATTTCCATCTTGGGGGCCAGGCGTGGTGGCGCATGCCTGTAATCCCAGCACTGTGGGAGGCCGAGGCAGGTGGATCACCTGAGGTCAGGAGTTCGTGACCAGCCTAACATGGTGAAACCCTGTCTCTACAAATACAAAAAAATTAGCCGGGCATGGTGGCACATGCCTGTTATCCGAGCTGCTTGGGAGGTTGAGACATAATCGCTTGTACCTGGGAGGCAGAGGTTACATCCAGCCTGGGAAACGAGTGAAGCTCTGTCTCAAAAAAAAAAAAAAACAGGCTGGGCGCGGTGGCTCAAGCCTGTAATCCCAGCACTTTGGGAGGCCGAGGCGGGCGGATCACAAGGTCAGGAGATCGAGACCACAGTGAAACCCCGTCTCTACTAAATACAAAAAAAATTAGCCGGGCGCGGTGGCGGGCGCCTGTAGTCCCAGCTACTCAGGAGGCTGAGGCAGGAGAATGGCGGGAACCCGGGAGGCGGAGCTTGCAGTGAGCCGAGATCGCGCCACTGCACTCCAGCCTGGGCAACAGCGTGAGACTCCGTCTCAAAAAACAAACAAAAAAAACAAAAAACTTTCTATTTCCATTTTTTAGACTCTTTAAAGATAATTTAGCTTTATAATTTACAACATCTATTAAGACAGTCATTTTCTTTACTAACCCAAGTTTTTACTTGGTTGCACTTACAGCTTTCTTGTTAGAAACTTTCCTTTCCTGAAGCAAAAGTAGTTCAATTTGGGGTAGGATATTGTTTTAACTACTCAGAATCCCACTTCCTTTCTCATTTCTAATATTACAGTGTGTTTCCTCTTCCTCTCATTGATTCATCCTGGTTTTATCAATGTTTCTGATTTACTTTTTCCAAGAAGCAACCCCCCATTTGCTTTAGTTTTGTTTTCTCTATGTTTTTATTCATTGTATGTCGTTCACTTTCTTTAGCATTGTTGTTTTTTTGTGAGGTTTTTTTTTTGGTAGAGACAGGGTCCTGCTATGTTGCCCAGGCTGGTCTGGAACTCCTGGGTCCTGCTATGTTGCCCAGGCTGGTCTGGAACTCCTGGGCTTAAAATAGTCCTCTTTCCCTGGCCTCCCAAAGTGTTGGGATTGCAAATGTGCGCCACTATGCCTGACCAATTCTTTTTTCTTTAATAAAGGATTCAAACCAGCTGGGCATGGTGGCTCATGCCTGTAATCCCAGCACTTTGGGAGGCCAAGGTGGGTGGATCATATGTGGTCAAGAGTTCGAGACCAGCCTGGCCAAGATGGTGAAAACCCGTCTCTACTAAAAAGACAAAAATTAGCCAGGTGTAGTGTCGAGCGCCTGTAATCCCAGCTACTCGGGAGGCTGAGGCAGGAGAATCACTTGAACCCAGGAGGTAGAGGTTCCAGTGAACCGAGATCGCACCATTGCACTCTATCCAGCCTGGGCAACAAGAGTGAAACTGCGTCTCAAAAAAAAAAAAACAAAAACAAAAAAACAAAAAACAAAAACAAGATGCGCACCTGTAGTCTGACCAGCTACTTGAGAGGATAGGGTGGGAGGGCTTGAGTCCAGGAGGTCAAGGCTGCAATGAGTTATGATTGTACCACTAGGTGACAAGAGACGCTACCTCAGAAAAAACCAAAACTACTTGAAAACCAAACAGAGAATTTATTAAATGTATGCCCACTACAAACAGTATTCAGTTATCAAAAGTAATGATTATAGGAGCTATTGCAGTACAGAATTTTATTTGGCTATAATGCAAAATAAAGGAACATACAAAGTTACATGTACTTTGCAATTGTAATTATTCATGATAACATCTATAGAAAAGAATGATAAATTCTAAATACAATTGAGTTTACTTAATCCCATAGTGATTTTTATTCTTTCAGATGCTGGCCAGGTACGGTGGCTCACACCTGTAATCTCAACACTTTAGGAGGCCAAGGCAGGTGGGTCACTTGAGGCCAGGAGTTCCAGACCAGCCTGGCCAACATGGTGAAACCCCGTTCTCTACTAAAAATAGAAAAACTAGCTGGGCATGGTGGTGTGTGCCTGTAATCCCAGCTACTCGAGAGGCTGAGGCAGGAGAATCGCTTGAATCTGGAAAGTGGAGGCTGTAGTGAGCCAAGATTGCCCTGCTGCACTCCAACCTGGGCAACCGAGCGAGACTGTCAAAAAAAACCAAATGTTATATAAATGAGTTATTTTGTCTTTTAAAAGCATTCATCATATAAATAAGGAAAAAAAAGTAAATTCCATTTCAGTGGTTAGCCCTGTTAGACTCTTTCCTTCCTGGTTATGAGATCAAAATGAGAATAATTATCAATGTGTGGCAAGACTGCCACTAAGACACAAGTCTTTCTTAGCTTTAGGGCAAGCATTGGCAAACTGTGGCTTTTAGGCTAAGTTTAAATTTTCAAAACATTGTTAGAGCCAGAGACCCATATATACCCAGCAAACCCTAAAATATTTACTACCTGACACTTTACAGAAAAAGGTTTGCTGACCCCTGCTCTAGGTTATGAGTTATAACTTAGACTCATTTGTATCTTCCCCTGTATTCATGTATGTGGGCTAATGGCTTAGAAAAATTTTGGATGTGAATGGGATAGGGTTATTCCTTGATCCTAGCCAGCGATTGAAACAGAGTCCAAAACAGTAGAAAGACAATGTCAGAAATGATAGAACAGCTGTCTGAGGGATGTGTGTATAGGTGTGTATAAACATAGACGTTCAACCTTAGTACCATTTTTCCATGTTTTTTGATGAGTGCGATTGTGTGCTTTGCAAAGAGGGAAGGTAATATGTTATCTGTTGCTGCATAACAGATTACCGCAAAACTAATAGCTTAAAATAAACGTTAACTCACATAGTCTCTTGAGTGTCAGGAATCCTGGAACAGCTTAGTGTCAGATCCTACAGGTGAGGGTCTCGGTCCCCAAGACTGCCCCCCATGTCCCCAGACACCAATCGCAAGTCTGGGTATCCTGAACTTACTGACTGACTTCAAGTTGGGGTTCTTACAACCTCATCTGAGTTCCATTACTTTGTTGCAGTAGCTCACATAACTTGAGGAAACACGTTTCCCGGTTTATTATAAAGGATATTACAAAAGATACAGATGAAGAAACACACAGGGCAACGTGTGTGGGAAGGGGCATGGAGCTTCCATGGCTTCCCTGAGTGTGCCACCCTCCAGGAACTTCCAAGTGTTCTTCAGCTAACTGGAAGCTCCCTGAACCCAGTCTTCCTGGGTTTTTATGGAAGCTTCATGACTTAAGCATTCTCTCCTGTTAGAGTATAGGGCAGGATTCTCTCTTGGGAGGGTCTTAGAACCTATAATCAGAAAGATTAGAGTCCTGCCTGGGGGCAGGTAAAAGGATGGCAGAAGGTCAGAAGCCTGCCTCTGAGGCCTAACACACGGAACATTATAAAAAAGACTGTAACAAGGGCTATGGGAGTTATGAACCGTGGACAAAACCAATGTATATTATGACACCACAGGAGCATAGCATACACAGCATGGAGATTCTGGTCAATGGGATGATTTATGTCCTGAATGGAACTCAGTGCCACTGCACTAGATTTCATCACACTAACCAGAATGGCATGCAATTTAAAACCTAAGAATTGGTTGAGTGTGGTGGCTAACACCTCTAATCCCAGCACTTTGGGAGGCTGAGGCAGGTAGATCATTTGAAGTCAGAAGTTTGAGAACAGCCTGGCCAACATGGTGAAACCCCATCTCTACTAAAATACAAAAGTTAGCTGGGTGTGGTGGTGGGCACTTGTAATCCCAGCTACTCAATACACTGAGGTGGGAGGATTGTTTGAGCCTGAGGAGCAGAGGTTGCAGTGAACCGAGATCATGCCACTGCACTCCAGTCTGGGGGACAGTGAGACCCTGTCATTAGATAACTAAATAAAATAAAACCTGTGAATTGTTTATTTCTGGAATTTTCCGTTCAATACTTTTGGACCACAATTGACTGTGGGTAACTGAAACCATGGAAAATAAAACCACGGATAAGGGGGACTACTGTACTCTGAAGCATCATTTTTGATCTTTCAGAGCCTTAAAGGATTTTACCCTCTGACCAGGCGCGGTGGCTCACACTTGTAATCCCAGCACGTTGGGATGCCAAGGCTGGTGGATCACCTGAGGTCAGGAGTTCAAGACCAGCCTGGCCAATATGGTGAAACCCTGTCTCTAGTAAAAAAATAATAATAAAATTGCTGGGCGTGGTGGCACACACCTGTAATCCCAGCTACTCGGGAGGCTGAGGCAGGAGAATCAGTTGAACCTGGGAGGCAGAGGTTGCCGTGAGCCGAGATCAAGCCATTGCACTCCAGCCTGGGTGACGAGCAAAACTCCATCTCAAAAAAAAAAAGAAGGATTTTTACCCTCATCTTTCATATTTCTGCACCTTTCTTTAGTGACCTGGGTATAACCTTTGCTTGGGAGCAGTTAATTTTAGCATCTTTTGCT